GCGCAATCCACCCAGAAGGTGAACCTCTCTTAGCAAAATAAAGCTCTTTAGAAGAGCGCGAAGGACGTACGGCGAAGGAGACGTCCAAAACTCTGTGGCGTCCGTGGCAAGTGTCGTGGCGTGACATATATATTGCGCATGCGCAATTGCCCATCTTGTCGAGTAGAAATTTTCGGAAATTTGAAAATTTAGACTTACGTATTTCCGTTTCCGCTAGGTGAATTTTTTTTATTTTTTGCACGTTAACTTTGAACGGCACTGTGCGTGTTTTACAAAAATTCGAAAAAAATCTGTTTGAGAGAAAAAAAAGTTAACGATGAATTCTAAAAAAGGCCTCTTTTCCTTAAACTTTCTGACAGAATTTTTTTAAACTTAGCAGTCAAGTAGACCAAGACAGTCAAAGGACGCTTGCAAAATCTAAAATAAATTCACCGTCCAATTTTTAAGAAAATTCAAGTCAAGTCTAATTTTGGACCCAGCATTGCAAACCAGCAACGTTGCCATGGCAACGAATTTTTCAATATATTTGTAACCAACTGATTCTTCAATAATATCTTTATTTCAGGGGAAAATGTGATCGCGATTCGTTAAAGCTAAGTTTCATAATTTTAGATTAAATATCTTGCATCAGAAAAGTGAAAAACTATATCCAGCCTCCTAAAAGGGCAGAGTAACAGCAGGTTTATGATGTGGAGAATGAAAACGGCCTTTAGTTTTCGATACGATTAGGCTTTGTTCCGCTCCTATTTCTAACGATCTTTTAATTTACCGCGTCATCCTCCTGAATCGTTTTTTAATTAACTCATTAATTTTATCAAAAAATTGTTAAAGTACTACAGCTCAAAAAAAAATGAAACTTCTCGAAAGACCAAAATGATAAGTACATTTTGAACATGGAGATGAAGATGCAAACAAAACAAAACGAAACAAAGTTGTCAGTAAGCTGTCTAATGACAATCTAGATATTGAAGGGGGACTGAACAGAGAAATTAGTGAATCTAAAAGTCTCCACGTTAAATGACGCGGGAAACCAACCGAAAATGAAACTTTTATTTCATTTTGATATCTGGTCACTTCTCATGGCATCAAATCTAACAGCTTTACACTTTCGGTTGTACTAAAGTACACTTGGAGATGGAAGCATATTCGCCCAATATTTTCACAGTTTTGGCAACCTCCAATCTGATGGGCTCACTTTATTGTTCATTGAATTCACAAAATTAAGGTGGCGTTCCCTCCACCCACTTTCTTTGAATTGCACCCTTCAATCTCCTTCTTTTAACCTTACGACAACCTTTGACACGCCAATTGCATATTACGCAACCAGTTCTCGATGAAGACAATTTGGAAGGCTTGTTTCCCGAAGCCCTTTCCACTCTTAGAACAATGTTTCTGTTCAATTATTCAGTGACTTGCCGGTGCTATTTCAAAATGAGGTCCCACTAATTTTAAACGACGAAAGTTTCCAGCCATTTACGCGGCAGGAACAATGGAACGGAATTTCAAACCAACAGAATTGATATCCGTTTTACTATTGTATGTTTACGTGGCGGACGGATTTCGGATAACAGTGGCAAAAGGTGAGTTGTACATGGCAGTAATATCTCTAAACTGGTGGATAAGGGAGGTAGCGAGTCAATGCACATTTCAACTATATTCTCTAAAACAATACCTTCAAAATTTGCCCACGAAGTCAACGATTTTTCGTAAGCGGTAACAAGTACAAAGGCGACCGCCCTTCCGAAAGGGTTAACACCAAACCATTTTGGTTTACGTCGTCTTCACTGTAAGACTGACTGTTTTTGAAAGGCGCATTTAAGTTTGTATAGGAGTATGTCAAAATATAGATTATTTTTAATCTTGGGACAACTAAGGCCAATTTAAAATTAGTAAACAAGGTTAGAGCGCCCAAAACAAATGAACATCAAGTAATCGGAAATTAGAGAAAACCGTACATCTCGCTCTTTTCCCAGTAAAAATATATCATTTAGTTCTGTTCAACTTCTCTCGCTTCATATCTTTTGTAGTACCTCAAACTTCACGACTGCATGTGGAAATTCTTCGACCTTAGTTTAACGCTGGTAGAAAAGAAAAGATCTAGATCAAAGTTCTGTTTTTGTATCTTCTATACTTTCAATTTACAGTTTATTTCTGAAATTGTTCGTCTTATACTGCTGGTACCAGTTCCAAAGGAATTTATGTGTTGACCAAAATAATCGAATTCAAAACTGCCACCAGACAGTTTGTCTAAAAGCGTTTTTTCTTCGTATGCTTTCTTTCTCAATTTTTCGTTATTTTTTTGTCTTTTTTTACATTTTTTTAACGGTTTGCATGGTCACTTTCAAATGTGAAAAACGTTATATTTTTAATCGAAGACTATAGTGCTAAAATATCAGATAACTTTCAAGTCAGTAATAATTAGTCAGTCAAAAGGTCAATGGCTCCAAAGTATGGAAACCCGCATGTAAATGTTTATTAATTTTCTCAGTGATGCCTGAAGTAACCGGTGAATGTTTTCAGGTGCCTCAGAAAATGGAGTGAGAAGTGAAGGTAGAAGGCTTAAAGGCTCTGGATTAGAGGAAGAAAGATTAAAGAAAGGTAAAAAATATGTTGGAGATGATGTGATAACAAATCAAGGCCTTACATCAAATGCATATAAGTCGAAACAGTGTTTTATGTTCAACACAAATTAATGACTTGGCACGAGATTTCCCTAATGTTACCCAGGTGCTACATTTGATTCCTTTACTCGTGAAATTGACCTCTCTGTCTTTTATAGCCAGTTATCATTCTTACTCCGCCAGCAGCAATGTTACCCAGGTGCTACATTTGATTCCTTTACTCGTGAAATTGACCTCTCTGTCTTTTATAGCCAGTTATCATTCTTACTCCGCCAGCAGTGATGTATTCAAAACCTGTTTGATTGAAAAGAGCGCTTACACGCTTACATGATGGATTTGTTATGAGGTTAAACTGAAATGAGTGCGAAGGTCGATGTGGAATGCGGTGGTTTTGCTTTGAATACTGACTGCACACTGTGGTCAGTCCTCGGAGAGAAGTGCGTCTCAATCGATCAAATGCAGAACTAAAACCAACCAGGGTTCTGTTATTCACGTCTCCCGTGAATAACTCCGTCCCCTTTGCGCCTTAACATCTGTAGCATTTCATTTTCTCCATCCTGTTTTCTAGACATTTCCCGGAGAAGTTGTTTATTATTATTATTATTATTATTAAATTTAAATTCATACCGCCCAGTTTCTATAAAAATATTCAACTGCGCCTTACAATAAATATTAAATCAAAAATAAAATAGAAGTTCAAAATTACAATTCTAAAATTCCATAAATAAATAAAATAATTCATCAATAATGCAATTTAATTATAACAAC